GCCCGAAAACGCCTTTTTCGTTTCTTTTGAGTTTGTCAGTGGCCCATTAGGTATGCGATTTTCACGTATTGTGCCGGTAGCCTTGAAATTTGTCTCCGATAGCAATTCTCACAAAAATAACGCGGAAAAGAAGTTATCAAAAAATAGGTGCATCCGTTTATTAGGCCACCTAGTTCTTAAAACGTCAGCATACTCCAAAACAAAAGATGGCCCCACTCCATAATTAATATACTTTTCGCTAATATTAGTGGTAGCACCTTGGTAAGGTTCCGTCCAATTTACGTAGCCTAATCTACTTGCTCCTACCCAAAGTTTGTAGCCATTGCGAAATGGCTTATTGTCAATAAATTGTTTACAGCCATGGCCGCCAAAATATGGTACCATGGCTTCGTCAACACATTGCATTTCCTCACATTTACCAAATTTCAAAAATGCAGCATTTAGGTGATCAAACAATGGCCTAACTTAAGCAAATTTGTCGGATGTATTTATAGTGACGTTGTCAGAGATAAAATATATTCAAATTTATTCCTTGACAAAGCTTCAGAAACCAGTACATTTTGACTGTCTCTTTCGTTTTCCCAGAACATTCTCCGCCTCGGAACTGGCACATATCCACTGAGTAATAACACTCCAATGAATGCTTTTATCTCACGTTTTTCTATTTTCAGGCAATGGTTTTGTTGCCCTCGATATCGATTTGATTCGACAACTATATGGTCCAATATTTTGGCATCAAAAATAAAGAAAACATATCTAGGGGTTAGAAGGGGTTTGCAGAGGTATTTCTTCTTCATCGTTACTAAATTATTCACCTTCATACACCAAATCTTCGGTTTCCCATTTATAAATCTTTTTTTGTCTTTATTGTTTTTGTTCTCTTTGATGGCGTTTTAGAGAAAATGTTTCACCTTGTATTATATTTATGAAAATTTATTTCAGCAGGCGCTCTAAGCTGTTTAGCAGGTAGATTATTTATGGTAAGTGTGTCTTCGTCACCAGAATCTTCATCAGTTTGAGAATCCGTGGTATTTTCTAGCGGAGAAACTAGACAATAGAAAATAGTCAATATCCTTATATACAACCATCAGAAAAATCGAAGCCAAAATGTCTATATACCCAAGATTCGACTAAAAGAGATCTGTCATTTGGATGCACATGTCATGCCAGTTTTGGTCTGGTGACTGTGGATGGAAAAATAATCGAAAAACGAAATATTTTTGTACGAGTTGTAAAACGTATCTTTGTTTGGAACATGCAAATCTAATTCACAATGACTGATATTCTGGCTTTATTTTATTATGTTTGTTGCTATCTCTTACATTTTTTTATGATAAGGCTTTATGAACTATAGTTTTATTTTTGTTTAATATAATTCTTAAAGACTGATATTTGATATTGTATTTTTAAATTAATTATAATCTGTTTAGTAAAAAAGGAAATAAATCAAACTATTACAACAATTGTGAACTATTTTCGGAAAACCATTTCCGTAAGTTCTGGAGTAAAGATATTCTTCTTCTTCCTGGTCAACCCTTTTCGTAGACCTTTTCATCTAGTATAAGTTGCAGCAGGTTATATCTATGATCGTTTCGCATTATATATCCAAGATATTCTAGCTTGCGCTGCTTCACCGTGGATATAATTTCACAGGTTTTCACATAATTTCTCCATCCGACTTAGAACCTTAATGTTTGTTATTCGGTCCACCCAGGAGATTCCCAGTATCTGTCTGTAACGCAACATCTCAAACGCCTCGAGTTTTCCCATGGATGCCTCAGTTAGTGTCAATGACTCGACCCCATAGAGTAGTACTGTAAACATGTAGCATCTAAATAAACAAATTTTCTTTTTAAGGGTAAGTCGTGGCTCTTAAATATCTTCCTTATTCTGACAAACGCTGACCTGGCTTTTTCAAATCATTGTTTTATCTCAACTGAGTGATCCTGTTGCTCGTTTATGGTGGTTCCTAAATAGTAGTAATGGGGCACTTGGAGTATTTGTTGCTGGTCTACCAGTAATTGACTAGATGGAATATGCTTCTTACTGAGGACCATGTACTTTGTTTTCTTGATGATAAAATCAAGCCCGTATTCTTGACTGATTCTCCACAATTGTGTTACTAGTGTCTGTAAACCTTGTAAACTGTCTGTAAAGAGAATAGTGTCATCTGCGTATCTGATGTTATTCAGGCGCTCACCATTTATGACAATATTCTCTTTGATATGCTCTAAGTCCTGGCTCATGACGTGTTCCGAAAAGACATTAAACAATAGGGGAGAGAGTATGCAGCCCTGTCGTACTCCTCTCTTTATTGCAACTTCCTCTGTTAGTTGGTCTTTCAGCTGAATGGTTGCCGATTGGTTGTTGTATATTTTCTTGATTACTCGAAGGTCTTTGTTATCCAGATCAGTTGCCTTTATTATATCCATGAGCTTATCGTACTTGATTTTGTCGAAAGCTTTCTGGTTGTCAATATAGCATACATAAATATCGCAGTTGACGTCTCTGTACATTTGAAATAATGCCTGAATCGCGAACAAGGCTTCTCTTGTACCTAACGCATCCCTGAATCCAAACAGCGTTCGTGAGATCTGTGACTTGCATTTCTGATAAATTCTTCTGTGTATTATTATTCTGTGTATTCTGTGTGATAAGAAGGTCTTAAGAATGTGGCTCATTAGAGTAATAATAATATATAATAATAAAAATAACTACAAACAAGGGATTATTTTATTGAAATTTAAATAAAATGCATCCGGAGCAAATTTTTATGAGCGTTGTAATAGACCGTCTGCGACTACTGACACACAAAATTAAACTGAGTCTACTGAAAGGTTAACTAAAACAATTTTCAGTTCGTAGGTATAAAACCGACCTTTTTCGACAAAAGCCACATGCCAAGATATGTTGGTAATACAGTACCAGTATATGATGTCTCCAAAATCTTCAGCAATTAATAAATCAAGTTATGGAACACAGTGAAGAAAGAGATTCAATTCTAAATTCGAAAAAACTTAATTTATGATGATCACTAACACTCTGTCGGAAGGGCGGATAGATAGTTACACTAGTGAATAAGTTAAGCCTATCAGAAACAAATTTCAACTACGATAAAGTTCATTTTTTGTTTTTTTTTTCAAATCTTTTTACAAAAAAAAAGAAATTAAGCGAAATGGGTAAAAATAGTAAAAAAGATACATATAAGTCTTTGTAATTTATTTCTTCTTTTATTAGATTTTAAGAACTTCTGGTAACTTTGTTTGGGTTTGTTTTGTCATAAGGTGCGTGTGTCTTTTGTTACTTTCTCCTAATTGTTTTTTTCTCTTTAATTAGGTTTTTTGCACTCACAGAACAATTTACACTTTTCTTCCATATTGCCTGTTCCATTTTGCTTTTGTATGGAAGTAGTAAGCTATTGTTTAGTGCAGGGGTGTCCAACTTGTAATGCCTCAAGGGCCAAAACTAAAACCTTTGATGTTGTCGCGGGCCATATAATAATTTTGTTACAAGTAATAACAAAATAAAGTGAGGTATAAAAATATTTAAAACAAAAAAGAGTATTATTTCTTTTATTGCTCAATAATTACATTTTTTTATAAACGGAAAATTTACTGATAACACTTTTTAATAATCAAGACAAACATTGTAAAAGCAACTAAAAAGATATATCCAATTAATGTGAGGACTTTGGTCGATCGGCTTCATCCACCAATGAAGAAATGTCCACCTCCAGTTCAGTTGTAGACACTCTCATAAGATGACGTAAGAAAGAATCAGTAAGGTTGCTTCTGTTTTTATTTTTTATGTATTTTATGGAGGAAAAGGCACTTTCACATGTATATGTGCTTCCGAACCTTGACGTCATTTTCAGTCCAAAATCTCGCAGGTTTGGAAATTTCTCCTTTGACAGTAATTTGAAAAATTCAGGTCCCTTTTCTTGTCTGGTGATAAGGAACATGTCTGCTTGAAGATCACATAACTCAAGTTGTAAGTTGGGTGGTTGATCATCAATGGTTGCTGCAAGAGGGTTATTATAAAGTAGTACACTGCTTTTGATACTTTCAATTTCTTCAAATCTTGTATGGAATGCATCAATAACTTGTTCAATTTGTGAAATGCAGGATAAAAACGGAATATTTTCCTCACCGTTGAATTCTTCTGGTATTTGCAGACAGCTAGGGAAGTGTGTCAGGTTGTTCTCTTCCAAAGCACGTTTAAACAAGTTCAGCTTATTCCGGAATCCGTTTATCATTCCGATAAAATCTGAAACCGTCTGGTTTCTTTTTTGAAGAAACAAGTTTAGCATGTTAAGATGATTAGTCAGATCTGTTAGAAAAGCTAACTGTCTTACGAATTCTGGATCCTTAAATTTCTCTTTCAGTTCAGTTGTGTCAGATAAAACGTATTTGTTGAGGAATACAGGGATTTCCTTTCTTATGGCAAAAAATCGTTCCATGCACTTTCCTGCACTCAGCCACCTTACATGGTTGTACATTAGCAAGTCTCCATACTCAGCCTCTGTTTCCTCTAAAAACTGCTTAAGTTTCCTGTGCAAAAAAAATCGATTTTTACCTCTAATCGTATTTATAATCTTAATTACGGTTTAGAAAACTTGATCTTCCTTGACTGATTTTCCACATAAAGCTGCCTGATGTATGATACAATGAATTGTTGGGCAAGTGACACCATTCTCTCGAAGCAGCACACTAAGTCAATTTTTTTACCTGTCATTGATGGGACTTCGTCTGTTGCTATGACTAAACATTTATCAAAGCCTCCAATTCTGTCAACTCTTTTCTTCACAGCCTCATAGATGTCTTTTTCTTTTGTTGTTCCATAAAGAGGACAAATATCAAATAACTCCTCTTTACTGGTAAAATCATCAAAAGAAGTGCGCACAAATATTAACAGCTGACTAACATCGGTTTGATCAGTGCTTACATCCAAACAAAGTGAGAAATATGAACTTTTCTTAACCAGGCTAAGCATAGATTTTTCTACTTGCTCACCCATAGCAACAATACTTTTTTGTATGGTTTGATGTGAAAGTGGCACTGTTTCAAATTTCTCCGCCATTTTAGAATCGTATTTGAGACGCTAGATCGTAGATCGTAGATCGTAGATCGTATAAAGCTTTGGCCATTTCGACAGCACATTTTTTTTTATCAAATTGCCATCAGTGAAAGGTTTTTTTGCCTTTGCAAGCTCAAGCGATACGGCATAAGATGCATGCAAAGAATGCGTTTGAGAGTGCAATATTTTACTGAACATACCAGTTTGCTCTTTAAGCTTTTTCTTCAAATCTGCAACTAGGGCACGCCGACTTTTATTTGTGTACGTAGCATACTTGTTTTCATGCACTGTTGTGTAATGTATTCTCACATTATATTCTTTAGGCACTGCAACGACATTCATGCACACTAAGCACTGCAACTTTCCATTATTGTTAACAATCAAGTAATCACTCTCCCAACTTTCTTTGTAAATTCTGTTCTTACTATCAATTTTCCGTTTTACTGGTTTTACACTCATTATTGTATAAGAGGAATCAAGACAAAGAATTAATCAAGTTCACTGTTCACTAGCAACGTAATATATTAGCCGACTAGCCTACGTGTCAGTAGCACACTGGCATGATTGCGGCTGGCGATGGATGGTAAGCAGTGGGAGGTGTGGCCTGCGTGAACTGTGATGCGCAGTAATCAGTGTAGTTTTCATAGTGGTGGACGACGATTGTGTTTGTTACACGTCCGCTAAGCGGCACGCGGTACGGTAGTTGTGATGTAAAAACACCAATAAACCATAAAATATAAAATAAATTAAAAAATCTTTTTTCAGAGTGGCGGAATTAAAAAAAATATGCTTTTCGAAAATCTTGCGTGGGTCACAACAAATAGCCACGCGGGCCGCCAGTTGGACAACCCTGGTTTAGCGTTTTCAATTTTTATTACTGCTTTTAGTGTCAATTTCATTAATATTTGTTACTCTCAGCAGTGGGCACTATAGACCATGTGAGGATAAACGTAGTGATTACGGACTATTTTTTGTATGTATATTGTGCTTTAATCTGGATTGTTTTTAAAATATTCTTATATCTAATTTATTCTTTATATAAAATATTCTTTTATATCAAAAAAATTTAACATTTACCTATAGGATCACTTATTGTTTGAGTCATTCGTGTTCGTTGGCAGTATTTGTTTTATTATATTTACACATACAATTCACTGAACCCTAGCTCTTATACACTCAACATATAAAATCTACCAATAAAATAGTTGACTGGGTACTCCCTACGCTGTAATGCCATTATTAATTGAAGTAATTGAATTTTAGACGATATGGAGTTCACTATTTTCCCAACGTCATTAATTAATTCCGCCGTGTTATTGTTGGGCTTGGTTCGCTTCATTCAAACCGAATTTCAAAGCATTTTGAGAGTTATATCTATATCTTTAGATTTCTACTTTACAGTGGCATCCGAAATCAGAATTTCGGGATGTAAATTGTAGTGGGTATAACCAGCATTAGTAAAGATTTTTAAGAAACAACAAAAACTATACAAGGATGGCTACTTAAAATAGTCCACCCTAGTATAGCACAATTATTGGATTTTGTAAAAATGCTCAAAGAAGTAGATTTACATTCCAAATCGTATAATATCTATTGTTTGACAAACCCACCCTTCCATGACCACAAACCCTTAAGTTTAATTAGAGAATAGTGTGGGGCATATAGACAGTTATTTAGCTGGAGAATTAAGTCATCCATGATTTCTATTAACCTTCGGCCGGGTGCAATACAAATCTTAAAATATTCGGGAGCATCTATGCTTCAAGCTTCTTATATGTTTTCTATGTACTTAGTATATTTTAGTCTTTAATATTTTTCCCATCTTTATATTATCTGGTCTTGATGACCAATGATCTCTAATATTCTGTTTCTAACCATTCGTCGGTATACTGCGAAAACCAGGTAAATGACAAATTTTACAAAATTGAGTTAAGTATACCAAAATTCTCAGCTTTTTGCGCTCTACATACAGGTAAAATCCAATAAATGATACGACTTACCGTTGAGCAGATAATTTGTGTAATAAACAAATAAGCTACACCTGACCAACTTTTCATTTTCCAGTAAAACAATATATTGCTACTTACTTCCATAAAATTGATGTTCAGTTGCATGTAAAACTAAGTAAGCCCACATATATGATTGTCCCGGACAACAACATGTTTCTACTACTGCATACCATATTCAGTAAAAAGGTGATAAATGTCTTTAATACATTTTACATGTATAATTTAATAAAATTTCTCATTCATATCGACTAGTAAAAACTCTTAAATACATTTACTTGATTCTACCTGAAAACGGGTTGAGTGAAAATTTAGAAATGATGACTGCTAAAACCATAAATGATCTTAATGGTGTTTATGATATAATTTTTATCTGCTGATATCTGCTGTGCAGAGTTATTTGAGGATTCAGCAGATACGTGTATGTATGTATAATATTAACAGACGGTTTTGAACTTGAACTCAGTAGAAAATAGTTTATACAAAGTTTAGTCTGTATTACCTATCTGTTTTGATTTTGTGTTACTAAAAATTATAAAACAAAGAAACAATGAATTCAAGAGCTAAAAGAATTTTATCCATGGTGAACAAACAATCCGAAAATGCCGTTAATGGTAAGTATTTTACAAATATATTATATACAATATATTATATACAATTTTATTATAAAAGTAATAAATAATACAGTGCTTCACAAAGTCAAATTGAGTTGGTTGACATTTTGCTTCTAGGTAGTAAATAACACATTGTGACAAATTTACAGAGAATTTCGAATTAAATATTTTTGTTTCTTACCTATTTATAGGGAGTTTGGAAATAAGTTTGACCGTTATATTCTTGTTGCTTTCATGTTTAATGTTTGTATTGTACTTAATAATAATTACTTATTTTTATGAATGTTTGGGCGTATGTTGTTTGCACAACTGAAGTTGTTATTATACGATGACAATTTGGTTGGGCTATCGAAAATAAGCAATATCAGCAATAATATTCATCAGTTTCGTGTGTCCACATTATGTGAACAAATCTTAAATTTCTCTTGAGAGATCGTTTTGTACATATAAATACATATTATAATCTGAACAATACATAATCATGTTCTCGATACATAAAAATCAATACAGAAAAATAGTTATATGGGTGTTCACAAATGCACATGTTTATATTAGGGAAAAAGTTAAAAGATTATTCTAAAGTTAAACAGACTATTAAATAATATTGAATATCTTCTATTTGTGACCAGGAAGACAGTTTTGAAATATTTTATTTTTATTAATAAGTATCAATTAGTTACTTGTTGTGTAATATCGTTTTTTTTAGATTCCGTTGAAACTGAAGATATCAGTTCAATTCTTGATGATTCTCAGAACAATATAGCCTCAATGATGGAATCAATTTTGGATAGTGACTTCTCAGATGCGGACCCCACATATCAGCCAAGTGAAGAGGGATCACTTTCTCTAGTAAGTCTATTTGAATTACAAACAGCTGACCTTGATAGCCTAAATGATGAGACGAAAGAAATTATTGAAATAGGAGCACTCACGAACAATGTAGTGTCACCTGAAATAGCTAGTTGGATATTAGATCTATTTCTCGACAAAGTATGGAAAGATGTACGTCCACTAAAACGTTGGCGAAAAGCTAACCCAAAAGATTGGATGATAAATGTCGCAAAAAGGAGGCGTGCTGAGGGTTTACCTTATGAGATAAAAAAAAAGAATAGACCAGCAAAATTGCCAAAACCTGTTAATTGTTCAGAGTGTTTTTACAAATGTGCCAGTTATTTCAGCGAAGATTACAGACAAAGACTATGTCGTGATTATTGGAGCTTAGAATATATAGGCCAGAAAAATGTTCTTATTGCACGTATTAAAATGGAGCCACCAAAGAGAGTCGTTGCAGTTCGTCAAAGTTTAAAAAAACCACGTGCATTTTCCAAAAAGTGTTACTTTTCTTTGAATGGCCAAGAGATACAGGTATGTGAGAAGTTTTTTTCTAAGACACTTTGTATATCAGCGTCGTTAATACAAGATGTTGTAAGAAAAACTGATACTCTAGGTTTTTATGCAGATACGGATAAAAGAGGCCAGCATATACCGCCAAATAGAACAAGCCATGAATCCCGAAAAATCGTGAAGGCTCATATTGAGTCTTTCCCAACCATGGCCCCACATTATATTCGCCAAAGTTCAAAGCGTAGATATTTGGACAAAGATTTGAGTATAAGAAAAATGTACCAACTTTATATAAATGACTGTGAGGAGAAGAAACTGAAAGGTGTTAGCGAAATTACATACCGAAGAATATTTTCTAACGACTATAATTTAAGGTTTTTCGTCCCTAAAAAAGATCAATGTTTAGTTTGTAATAAATATGATACGGCTAATCCAACTGACAAATCGGATTTAGAAAACAGTTACAGAGAACATCAGAAAAGAAAAGAAGTATGCAATCTTGAAAAACAAAATGATAAGAAAAGATCTAATGAACAACGGAATTTTGTTTCAATTACATTCGATCTACAGGCCGTACTACAGATTCCAAGTGGATTGACCGGACAACTATATTATTCCCGGAAATTATGCGTCTACAATTTGTGTGTATATGAAGCCTCATTGCCAAATGCAGCATACTGTTTTGCCTGGTCAGAAATTAACGGTAGACGAGGAAGTTCAGAAATAGGAAGCATTATACTCCACTACTTATCAAAATGTGTGCCAGAATATGTAAGTGAAATAAGTTTATTTTCTGATACTTGCGGAGGACAGAATCGTAATCAGCATGTTGCAGCCTTACTATTATGGGCTGTTCAAAACATAGAGCATTTAAATATTATTGAACACAAATTTTTAGAGTCTGGACATTCCTATATGGAAGTTGACTCTATGCACAGTAGTATCGAAACCGCTAAAAAACACAGATCTATCTATGGAATGCCAGATTACTTGTCTGTTTTTCAAAATGCAAGAGGAACTAAAAATATCAAGGTTGATGATAAAAAAGTATGTGTCGAACCATACAAATGTAAAGAATTTAAATACCACGACTTTTATGATTTAAAAAATTTGTCACATAATTTAATTAAAAATCGGACAAAAGACCAAAACGGCGAAAAAATAATGTGGTTAAAAATAAAAAGAATGAGATTCGTGAAAGGAGAGACAAACAGAATTTATTTTAATTATGATATGTCAACAAGCTTCAATTATTTCCTTACTGATACTGGACGGCAGTCAACAAGAAAAAAGCACGCCAAGTTAACTAATACAAGCAAGCTTGAAGAACTTAAGCGACTTTATGATGCACCTTTGCCAATTAGCATAGCAAAAAAGAGAGATTTGGTACAGCTATGTGATAAGGGAGTGATACCGGAGGAATATCATGGCTGGTATCGCAATGTGAGAACAGGAAATGATGTAACAGACGTCTTGCCAGAGCCTGCTTTCAGTG